ACAGGTAGCCTATAGTTTCAATTGCCACTTTAAACTAAGGTTGGACTTTTACTTGGAATTTACAATTTTCTATTCATATGCTATATTTTGTCCTCCCAACTCTTGTATTGACTTTTTACTTCAGCAATCCCATTTTTAATTTACAGAATCTTGTCTATTGCTGGTTCTTTTTCACACTATCCCATTCATGTCCTGTGAATACAATATGCTTTTTTTTTGTTTTTTTTAAAGATATTTAGTTTTCCTTTCACTCTCGTTTCCTTTGGATTCCTCCCCTCCATGTTAATTGGGCCCCTCTTTCTAATTTGGAGGCTTTCACTAACTGTTATTGATGAGTGGTGATTTTTGGCTGCTGGTCTTCATTGCAGGCTTACTAACAGTTTAGCCAAACTCTTCACTAAGGGTCTTCTGTCAGCATTTGGAGGCAAAAAATTGGTAAAATTATCACTAGCAGTAACACAGAAGACAGAAAATGTACTAATTCACTCATGGCACCAAGTGAGACTTTGAAGCAGAATTTTGAAAGAATAAGATGGCTGCTATGAACTGCAACTTATAAGGTATTCTAACAGAAAGATGAGCTCAAACATAAGTGGGTATACAAATATTATTAAAAGGGCATATAGAATCCAGGCTTGTAAATGAAACTGTTTCCACCAAATCAAATGCTGAATCATTAAATATAGCTTTAGGACAAAGACCAAATTCAGGGTATTGCCATTACCATGGCCTCAAGGCAAAAAAATTGCTTGCCAATGCAGGAGATGTGGGTCCAATCCCTAGGTTGGGAAGATCCCCCAGAGTAGGGAATGGCAATCCATTCCAGTATTCTTGCCAGGAAAATCCAACGGACAGAGGAACGTGGAAGGCTACAGTCCACGCGGCTCCAATCAGACATAACTGAGTGACTGACCACACACACATGCACAAGGGAAAGACAAGTAAAGGGTGTAAGTATACACTCATTTTGTACAACCTCTGAAGGGATTAAAGAGATGCCTTTCAACTAAATCAAAGGGCTACTAGAAAGATTAAAGAAATTAGAAGACTGCTATGTTCAATACATGCACATTTCTACAAACTAAGCTGTGAGTACCTGAAGCATCTCAGGCTGAACTAGTTAATGAATGTTTCTGTAATCCTCTTCCACTGAAGTCTTCTAGACTTTTACCCCCCAGCAGCCCCCATATTTGAGAGAACCTCAATTACTTTACTAAACCTCTTAATTCATGCAATACTTTAATCTGCTTTCCTTACCACCTGGCTTCTCTAGAAAAGAGAGCCTGAGGCACAAATTAAATCTATTACTTTATTAGAAGAGGCAATCCAGGCTGGTGAGAGTAAAGATGTAAGACTAACAAGGACTGGAAGCAAATGCAAATTGATAAACCAAACAGCATTTCATTTCTGGTTCATGATTAAGTCATGAAGAGACATTGCTGATAATTTGGCCAGTTCAGTTGCTTAGCTACATGGTACATCTCTGGGCAGGACGGTGAAAAATTGTGCCTCAAAACAGTCCATGAAAAGGATAGAAATTTGTGTGACAGCTTCTAGTCCATTGATCCAAGTCTTGCAGACAATTGGCTCTCCCAGATTGCATCATCTAACCCTTTTGACAATCACTGAGGGAAACCCTGTGGCATGATGCTTCCTTGAATCCAGAAGTGTTCGGATGGGCCAGAGATTCTGAGCATATGGCTAGCTGACCTCAGGCAGAGCAATTACTCCAGTCTGCTAGTACACAGTGTCACTATATAGGGTGATAGCTATGGCAAGGTGGTAGGTGGCCTAGGCAACAGTAGGGCCAAGAAGGTGAGAAGCCACTTGAGAAAGATGTGTCAGATACTATATCCAAAGATGAGATACCTATGGCTGTAAATACATCCTATTTACCTATGAAATACCTATGGCTGTAAATATAAATACATTATGCTGTATCATAATAGCTATAAAGCTTCAGAGGCATAACAATAGACATCCCTTGCTCACACATCTATAACCGGATAGGTGTCAGGTTCTGCTGATCTTGGCTGGGATGGTTCACATACCTGTGGGTTGACTGGCTACTGGCCAGTCTAAGACTGGATTCAGGTAGGGTGACCAGGGTAATTTGGCTCTGCTTCATGCATGTCTCACCCTCTAGAAAGCTAAGCCAGACATGTACGTGCTTTTGGCAACAGCAGTAGCACAAGAGTAAGTGGGAATACACTAGACGTTTGGAAACACATATGGGCCAGAAAGTACTTGAGAATGCACTTCAAAGGAGGATGAAAAAAACACCATGAATACAGGGAGGAGTAAAGAATTAGGGTGGCTTTTACAGTCTCTCAGACCAAAGAAAAACAAGACAAGTATAGACAATTCATTGTTCAAACAGGTATTATTATTGTTTGGGGGGAAGAATTTAAGATTTTTCTGGACTTAGCTATAAATTAGGCTCTTATGGAGGACGTGGGTTGTCTTTCTTAAGACAACTGTAAGACAGGAGCAAATTAGTTTTTTCCCTTCTCCCTTTTAACAATTATATTTTGTTGGTTTGTAGAGCCAGTTAAATAGCAATAGATTTTGGCTTAGGAAAGTTCAAATTTAGCCCAGAGAAATCCAACTTTGGCCCTGCTTAAATCAATTCAGGCCTTCCTCTGTTCCCAAGGCCAAGTTCTAAGCATGAAGAAATCCATTTTAATTCCATTCTTGTAAAATAACTGCTAGTCAGTTATTGCTTATTAACTAATAGGCAAGTCAAATAGTTTATTTGGCTAAGACTATTGGGGCTAATAATGTTCAAACTTTATATAAGCCACATTCCTTTTAATGAAGAGTGTAATAAAATGGTGACCTCACTGAACCAAATCATAAGTCCCAGATTCTAGACAGGATTCTGCCACTAACTGGTTGTGTGACCCTATGGGCATGTTACTTAATCTCATTAGGCCTCAACTGCCACAGATATATTAATCAGAGACTGCTCTAAACTACAATGTTTCAAAGATCTATTTTCACAGTATGCTAGTAGGCATTTCTTCTTCAAAAAAGTTTAAGAAATAATAACTTGAAGTTCAAAATGTTTATTGCAGGACTTTTCAGCACTTTCATGCTGTGCCTTTTGAATCTCTAAGAGGGGGATATAATGTGCAGCAAACAAATTTTACCGACAATTTTTTTTTTTCATAAAACACATGTCCCACTGAGTGTACTCTGGGAAATGTATTGCTATTTCTAGCACTCATATGGGTGAAACTTAATAGTCAATATCCTATAAAGAGGACAACTTCAAGTGGGGACTTTCGAGAAAAATATCTCCCTTGTGGCTCATTCATAAAGAATTCACCCGCCAGTGCAGAAGCGGCAGGAGATGAAGGTTCAATCCCTGGGTCAGGAAGATCCCTTGGAGAAGGAAATGGCAACCCACTCTAGTATTTCTGCCTGGAAAATCCCATGGGAAAGGAAGCCTAATGGGCTACAGTCTGTGAGGCTGGAAAGAGTCAGATACGACTTAGCAACTGAACAGCGTACAAAAATCACTATTTACAAAGGTACAGGCAGAGTTTAGGAAAACCAAGGTGTAAATGACCTACTTTGGGGCTAGGAACACCAGGAGACCTTACTACATAAATGAAAAGGGTAGAAGGAGGAAGTATGGGTCTGAAACGAACTGGAATAACTGCTGAGAAAAGGATGCCTAATAAGTGACCTTCAGTAAAGAGACACAGCCACCCATGGTGGCCTGGCAGCAAAGCAGCCAGGGAGATAAACAACACAATTTCATTTTCCTTTCAACTTTCAACCTACTGCTGGTCCTTCTGTTTGCTTATCCCAACCAAAAGCCAGTGGGCAAGGGGACCTACCTCACAGAGCAGAGAGCAGAATGGGAAAGACTAAAGGGTAGATCCAGAGGGCAAACATAAGCTATTCAGTACAGTAGGGCTCCATTCACAAACAGCTAGATTAGATGATTAAATGATGTCCTCAGGACTCAAGTCTTTTTTATCTCTCCACTCTTTCTTTTGCTGGCTTCATTCTAAGGCAAAGTTTTGCCACCTGCAGCAGAGATATCACCAGTAGCTCTAGGGTTATATACATCATGCTTAGTTCACAATTTTATAAAACAAAAAGAATAAACACATGTATAGTACTTACTATATGCCAGGTGCTACTGAAAGCCCCATAGACACATTCACTCAGCTAAACCTCAACATCATCCTAATATCTACCGTATTACTGGTCTCTTCAGTAATCAAGAAACTGACAAGTGACTGGTAGGTAGAAAATGAAAAATGAGATTTAGATTTAGATAGTCTAGCCCTAGAGTCTGTAGTGTAGCTCTAGAGGCTGTGCTTTTAACCAGTGAACCATACTGCTTTAAGAAAAACAATCCCTACCTCCTTGAACATTCATATTACTTATCAAAAAGGAAACATGTGCTTATCCTGGGTCAATCACTAGGCATTTTGCTTGCTAACCTGGGTCATATGTCCATCCTTAAGATAGGACATGATTATTAACAATTCCTCCCTAAAAAAGATGCAGATTAAAAAAAAAAAAAGTCCATCACATGCAACATGGACTTAAAGAAACAGCCCTATGGACTGGAGCTACAATTCTAGTTCTGCCCAGGTTTGCCATCAACCTTGAGCAAATTACTTGAGAAGATTCTGTGAGTATAGATGGAAAGATATGAAGATCTCTAAACAAATTTCTAATTACATCTAACCACATAGATATAAAATAACACATTATATTAAAATATAGTAATAAAATTGAGATCTGCCAAACTTGAGCAAGTAACTTTTGAAATGAATTTTTTGGTCAACACCATCTCTGAAAATTCCCTTAGAAATATCTTCATTTTTAAAAATATGAAGTAAAATAAATAAAACCTCATTTTTTCAAGTGGTCTTACAGACATTACACATGAGTATTTCCTAGGAATAAACAAAGCACAATTATAATTTTATTGATTTTAGCAAAATAAAATTACATGAGCAACTTTTAAAAAACTAATGGGTAAGTTTTCTTGTTTCCTTGTCTCCAGGGCACTTGGCATTCTTTATCAACTGGTGCATAAAAGAGTAGAAAAATAAAAGATTATCATATTGTCCTTTGTATTTCTCTTTTAATATATCAGTATGATAGTCTACCAGAAAGTAGTAAATGGCTTCAATAGTGGAAAGGAAGGTATCTGGCTTTCCTTTTTGATGGCGCCAAAAGCAAGTTTTTCTTGTTTTCAACTCAACTTGTAGCAACCCTGCCAAAAACAAATAAGAAAAATATAGGTATTTCTTGTTAACCACAGGGTGTGGTACAATAATGATTTCCCTTAATTACTTAAAGGATTTTTTTTTTTTTTGAACTTCTTCAATCCCAATTCCAAACAGGGTATTTTCTCAAATGTATTAAGATATATACAGAAGCAATACAAAACACAGGATGAAATATTATCCATGACAGTTATCTATAAGTCTCAGACCTTACAGCAATGGGTTACAAGTGGTTAACATTTAAGACGGTCATCTCTGTCATCTACTTACCAATGTCTTTTTTCACTTTAACCCGTGACAGGACTAAGTTCACCAATTTTCAGAAAAGTTTCATTTCCTTGATAAATTGACATTTTTAAGACATCATTCATTCTGAAACTCACTGAGACCAGGTAGGCAGGTTAACAGTTCTTAATACTGTTAAAGCTACTGGGCGATCACTTTTTGGCTCTCTCTTCATGTACAGAGTACCTACAGCTGTTTCAGTAGCTGTCACATCTGTGAAAGAGCCCTGGGGACACAGTCGGCTAATGCTGTGCTCCTAAATATTTAAAGAGGAAATGACTCATGAAATCTTAAAATAGTACTCTCATCTTTTGGACTTCCCTTGTGGCTCAGCTGGTAAAGAACCTGCCTGCAATATGGGAGACCTGGGTTCGATCCCTGGATTGGGCAGATCCCCTGGAGAAGGGAAAGGCTCTATATCAGTATTCTGGCCTGGAGAATTCCATGGACTGTATATCCATGGGGTCACAAAGAGTTGGACATGACTGAGCCACTTTCACTTTCACTCTCATCTCTTAAAACTCAGATGTCAACATACAAACTCAGAAGGCTTTTAGCACCTTAGACCAGCACTCAGACTCACAATAAAATTTGCTTTTAAAAAATCATATTTTATTCTAAACCAATACTCACAGCAAATATAAACTGACCAAACCTGCCATTTAAAAGACAATGATCATCATAATGAAACACAATAGGAATGACCTCCACAAGGCTTCCCTTCAATACACAATATTACAAAAACAATAAATTAATTACATGCATAATAGTTGAAAAGGGAAAAACACAATTGACATCTGTTGCTATTGTTCAGTTGCTAAGTTGTGTCCTACTCTTTGTGACCCCATGGACTGCAGCATGCCAGGCTTCTCTGTCATTCACTATCTCCTGGGGTTTGCTCAAATTTGTGTCCATTGAGTCAGTGATGCCATCCAACCATCTCATCTGCCGCTGCCCCCTTCTCCTTTTGCCCTCAATCTTTCCCAGCATCAGGGTCTTTTCCAATAAGTGGGCTCTTTGTATCAGGTGGCCAAGGTGTTGGAACTTCAGCTTCAGCATCAGTCATTCCAATGCATATTCAGGATTGATTTCCTTTAGGACTGACTGGTTTGATCTCCTTGCAGTCCAAGGGAATCTCAAAAATCTTCTCCAGCACCACAATTCGAAAGCATCAATTCTTCAGTGCTCAGTCTTCTTTATGGTCCAACTCCCACATCCGAACATGACTACTAGAAAAATCATAGCTTTGACTATACGGACCTTTGCTGGCAAAGTGATGTTTCTGCTTTTTAATATGCTGTCTAGGTTTATCATAGCTTCCCTTCCAAGAAGCAAGCATCTTTTGGATCACAGCCTTGTCATGGTGAAATATATTGGGGTAGAGAGATTTTTAAAAGGAACAAAAGTGCTAAACATGAAATATGGATAAATTCCACACTAAGAATTTCGGTTCTTCAAAAGATACCATAAAGAAATTTAGAAGATAAGTCAGAGACTGCATGAAGATATTTCAAAACATAAATATCTATATTCTATATAAAGAATTCCTACAAGTCAATAAGAAAAACAAAACACTAGAAAAATGGACATAGATATTTCACAGAATAGGACATGTACGGCCAAATAAGCAAACAAAATGATGCTCAACTCAATTAGTGATTAGTGAAAGGTAAATTATGACTACAACCAGATACCATATTATACCCACTCTATTGGCAAGTATCAAACATTTGACAACACAATGGTAGGAGGCATTATGAACTGATAGGAATTCTCGCACATTAATGATGGGAGTATAAACCTGTATACCCCCACTTTGGAAAATAGTTGGCATCATCCTATAAGACTGAACATTCTTATACATAACAAAACAGCAATTCCAGTTCTAGGTATGTTTCCTAGAGGAAGCTTGCACATGTGCAAAAATGTTCATAGTAGCACTGTGTGTAACAGTAGCACACAGTAGCGCTATAGCAAAAACCAGAAATAATTGTTTCATCAACAGAAGACTGAATAAACCTCAGTATATTCACACAATCATACATTATATAGTAGTGAAAATGAGTAAACTATAGCTACAATCTTAGAAACAAAATGGTGAGCTTAAAATTTGAGTCCTGAGAAAACTACAAGTCAAAAAAGAAAAAAAGCAAAACTAATAATCTAAAAAAAAAAACCTTTTTTAATTGAAAGTATGTTATACAATATAAGTTACAAGTGTACAACATAGTGATTCACAATTTTTAAAGGTTATACCCCATTTATAGTTATTATAAAATATTTGCTGTATTCCCTGTGCTGTACAATACATCCTTATAGCTTACTTTAGAGTTTGTCCATTTTACTTTCCTACCCCTATATTGCCCCTCCTTCACTGGTATCCATCAGTTTGTTCTTTACATCTATGAGTCTGCATCTCTTTTATTATATCCTTGTATTTTTTTAGATTTCACATATAACTGATATCATATAATACTTGTCTTTCCATTATTTCACTTAGCATAATGCCCTCCAAGTCCATCCATGTTACTGAAAATGACAAGATTTCATTCTTTTTTAATGGCTGAGTAATATTCTATTGTGTGTATGTTTGTAGTATGTGTACCACGTATGTTTTTCTCTAGGAGTTTTCTAGTATCTGTCTTACATTTATGTCTTTAATCCATTTTGAGTTTATTATTGTATATGGTATTAGAGAATATGTTAATTTCATTCTTTTACATGCAGCTGTCCAGTTTTCCCAGCACCACTTACTGAAGTAAGATGAATGCTCGTTTTAGTAATTTGGACTCCTTCCACAACAAAAAGACACCATCCTTCCCCAATGCATTCACCTAAACCTTTCAATGATGAATCTTCAAGAACATTATGCCACTCTTCACTTGCTGGCTTATATTTCATGATTAAATTAGGCACTCAAACTTCAAATGTTTTGTTTTGAGAGCAGTAAAACATTCACAGTTATTTCTCTGTAAAGTTTGGCAAAAGAGTATGTTACATTGTTAAGAGGATTCTTAATCTCAGCATTCATAATTAGAGTAACAGAAACATTTTAATACAGTACATTTGAGGGCTTAAATAGAAATTTAGAGTTGGTTTGTTCAGCTTAATCCCATCAAATGATAAAATGTTTTAAAACCTAACAGCAATGATTTATAACAAACAAGGGTTGTTTCTTGTGGAAGTAACTTGGCTTATCTGGAAACTGATATTTCACACACATATAGAGATAATAAATATGCTGAGCCCTAAATAGTTCCTGTGGTGTGATGAGGAGTCAGAAGGGACAGGGGTTGAAGTAGGAGATGCAGAAAAAACTGACTCTAGAAATCTGTTTATTTCATGATTTTGAAGGAATTAAGAAATCCATTTAAAATTCTGATGTAGCACAGAACTGAAATATATGATACTTTCTATGTGATCTAAGAAGGAATAACAGAAAACTTTTGTACAAATGTGATTTGAAGCCTTAAGCACAAAGGCTTAACAGATTTAAATCATACCTCAATAATTCCCTTTATAATTTTTTCAAGTGTTAAAACCACTTATGTTCTTCATTTGATCCTTTCCATTACCATATAAGGTACTTTAAAGAAAAATGGCTCAGGAAAAATCTTCAAACTGGGTAACATGCAACTGTAACTATTCAAGGGAATATGGCAGGCAGTACTCCAAAGAGCAGGTTTCATCAATCAAATATCAGCAATAAGATTACAAATCTTATTCTGTCATCTTTTTGCAGTCACTCTCCATACACACATCCTTCCCAAACACAGAAACACACAAGAACACAAACACACCATTTCTTTGTCTCTCTCTGCCTGCCTTTCTCACACACATACACCCAATCACACAGAGAGGCAGAATGACAAAGGAGTCTTACTAACATGTATGTTTTCAAGGGGTATAAACTATATAAATTAAGCAAGTTAAATCTAGTATTGTCATTCACTTTAGCTTGAGACTAACTAACACAAGATTCCAAAAAGTGCCATACACTTTCTTTTCTACATGATGTACATTTTGAATAACTGCCTGAGAGAAGCTCTTCCAGTTTGAAACTGATTTGGAAACTGCTTAAAACCAACTGGTTAACTCTCTTGCTCTCTAATCATACATGGTATACAAATAAAGCCACCAAAGAGCCAGAAATAAACCCAAAGCTTTTAGAGAAACTACTGAAAAAGCCTAAACAACTGAGTAAGGAACAAGCGAACAAGACAGGTAATATTCTTCATATTACTAGCTGTGTTACTTGGGCAAGTAAAGCAACTCTTTACACCATTAATTATTAGAAACTAAACTTTTCACTCTAAAGAAAAATATACAAACAAAACAAAAGAAAGAAATGTTAAATCTGAATTGGAACTATTCATGTGAACTCAATACATAGCTATTTATTTTTCTTGGCTCTGTCCACTGAAGCAATGATATACAAGCAGTAATAAATGTACCAGATCTTGGTTTCTAATAACATTTCCCATTAAAAGAACCACAGTTCCTTCAAACAATTAATTCTAGGTCTGGGGCAGGAAAAAAGTACAAGTGAACTTGGGACAGCTTGTTGTACCAGAAAGACTAAAGAGGCCATGCCACAAAGGACCTGAAACATTCCCAATGGCAAAATTTTAGACAATTTGGGCATCAAAAAGAATATAATCATGATAAATTATAATATACTGAATGAAAAAGAAACTCATAAGACCACAATGATCCCAAAAAGAGGTGGCGGGAAAGAGAGGAAAAAGGAGAGAGGGAAAAAAGAAAAGCTCATCTTTACATAAGAATGCCAGGAAACAAATGTAGAAGAAATAAAAACATTAAAATTTCATCATTTTGTAATCCTTAATGTAATTACTGGTTTAGGCAATAGTCTGTCTGTAATGCAAGAGACGAGGTTCAAACCTTGGATCGGGAAGACTCCCTGGAGAAGGGAATGGCTATCCACTCCAGTATTCTTACCTGGAGAACTCCATGGACAGAGGAGCCTGGTGGGCCACAGTCCATGGGGTCGCAAAGAGTCAGACACAACTGAGCAACTCACACACACACACACAGACACACATCAATAAATAGTAAAACCACTTGGTAAAAAGCAGTTGGGAAATAGTTCAGTGTCTTAAAAGTATTTCCCCATAGATTACTAGTAATTTCAACAAAGAAAATAAACTTTATAATGGAGAGATCTGGCAATCACCACTTTAATCAAGGAATTAACGTTATCAGCAGTAATGGAAAAGGGTACACTATGTCCTCTTATTTGATGTATAACAATTTTAGTTACTAATAGGGTAACTAATCACCTATTAAAGGTACACCATGTCCTCTTATTTGATGTATACAACTTTAGCTATGAATAGGGTAACTAATCACCTAAACAACTTCATTTCTGAAAAGCAATGCTATTATTAATTATATCAAAACAACAGATATAAACTAGATTTTTCATAGAAAATGATGGATTTATCCTTATCTGAAGTATCCTTACAAAAATATTTAAACTGAATCTAACACTAAAATCAGCAGACAACTGATCTGTCCTCTTCACACAAGCCCAAGTCATAAAATGCAAAAACAGGGGACTGTTTTACATTAAGAGACTAAAGAGACATAATAACCAAATGGAATCTGAGTTTACATGCTGTATCAGAGGAAAAAGGCTACAACAAATATTTTTAGGTCAATTAGGGAAATGTAAATTTGGACTAAAGAGTATAGACCTTTTGCTAACTCCCTTATAGTGATAATGGTATAGCAATTACGCCAGTCTTCTTTAAGGATGTATACTTAGATATTTAAGGGTGATGTGCTCTAAAGCCTGCAACTTACTTTCAAATGGTTCAACCAAAAATATACATATCTAAGTACACACAGATACATATAATAGAGAAGGAAAAATAAAGCAAAGGTGGCAATGCAACTCTTCTTGAATACATCAGTAGGTTTGAAGTTTCTGAGAGTTGGGGGAAGGAAAAGTCAAAAAACAAAATGCAACATTTTTATTCTTGTTTACCTTGAAGTCTCTCATCAGTGAATATCTTGTTTGTTTGGTTCCAGGTGCTATCTATGAACACAATTTTTTTCAGTGTTGTGTCTTTGCATTTGCTGTCATTCAGATTCTGTTCTTCAGTCTTCTTGCGTTTAATGGATGGCTTATCAAGGTCATCATTTTTGCCTCTAATGCTATTTTGACTCTTTTTTTGCAGATGAAAAGAAATATCTTTTACTGAAACAGACTTAGGTCCAGGAAATACAAGTGCAACCTAAAGCAAAGAAGTTTGCATTAGTAGTGTGCTATGATATTCAAAATTAATAAATTCAGACTTAAAACTTCAAGAGGAAAAACTATGTTGAGTATCTGAGAAAAAAGCATTAGGTTTTAGTATATGTGCCTCTTTAATATATATGTGGTAAAGTTTTTGGTTCTTCCCTGGTAACCTATAATCATAATATACCACCAAGAGATACTTCTATACTTTAAAATAAGTTATTCACTTATTGATAGAAAACAAGGTTAACTGTATCTTAAATAAAAAAACTAAACTCTGTAATGTTTCATAAAATAAAAGGCAAAGTATGGGGTACTTTGTAAAAGAACCATTGAAAAGCGCTTGATAATTAAATGCCATCTTCACCTCTATAATAAGCAAAGAGAAAACAAACGATACAGCCAATGCTGGTGAGGAAACGGTGCAACAGGCCTTTAAAGCCATTACTGATGTCAAGTTTAAATAACATAACTCTGCGAAAGCCATTTGGCAATATAAGTCAAGAGTCTTGAAATGTTCATACACTCTAGTCAAATGAAATTTCAATTATGGGAATTTATCTTAATAAATAATTCAAAATATACATATACTCACAATACCCAGAATATATGTTAAAGTACATTTATTACAGTGAAAACTTAAAAATAAAAAAATTTAACTGTTAAAGAATTACTCAGTGAATTATGGTACTTCCTTTCTTTCAGCATGTTTTTACTGAGACCTTATATACTGTAGAACCTCCAAGGTATGAACAACTCCTAACACAAAGCAGGCACCCAGCAAATATTTGTTAAATGAACAAATGTTGATAGAATCATGGCTATTTATCCTCCATATTTTTCCCTATTTCCAAAGATTTCTGAGTGTAGATAATCATTTTTAATATGAAAAATAAATATTGTTAAAATTTAAAATCTTAACTTTATAAACATCAATGTTATAAAAGTTTTTCAGACACTCACAATGCACACCTACCTTTCCCCCATACCCAACTAGCAAAGTCCAGGGCTTCTTAGTTTTCTTAGACTATGAGCACATCATGTCTTTTTATATTAGGCAGCACTATGTTCTATTTAACTGACATGATATCTAGCTGATCAAAGAAGGAAATACAAATATACTCCCTAGATCCCAAACTCAGATATCATTTACAAACACAACTTTCTATATAAACTCAACCAAAAATTACAAATATATTGATAGGAAAGGAAAAACTTACCAAGTTCTTTCTTAAACAAACAAATGCACTGATTTTTTATTTTGTTTCTAGATTTACCATACCAACAAAATGTTCTCCCAAGAGACCTAAAAGACTTTATATGTTTCTTTCAGAAGTATTCAAGGCCTAGTTTTTTGAGATCTATGGCAACATCACTTTTCAACAAGATCAGCTGTAAAGACCTGTTGTCATTAATGTGACCATTTCAACTAGGTGAAAATCCATTAAGAATCTAGAAATGAGCAAGGAAGGTCTCTGAGTAGCCAAAATAAATATCACAAAAGCCATTACTAAAGCTTTTAATTTAGAAAGGATTTCTAAAAGTCCTTCTAGCTTAGTCTTTTTTTCTTCTGGAGAATTTCAACATTTGTAATCTGGTTTCTCAGTTTGTATCAAATTAGACTTTAGGTGTAGCATATGAATAAGAATAGAGAAAGGAGAAAAGTAAAAGCAGGCCTAGTAATACTAGCAAAGAGTAAAAATTGGAACAAATAATGCAGAAAAACTAGAAAAAGTGAAAAGAGAGACTCAAAAAGGCCTAACATCTAGGGTCATTTGATCTTTTAAGATACTGATGAAGTAAACTGTATTTTGTTAAGTGCTGCAGAAGGTTAACCCAAGACCATTAAATAGTAAATTATGTTCAAATAAGTTTAGAAAGGCAATGCAGTTTAAAATTCATATTTAGATTCAATGTGAAAAGTTGTAAAAAAAAATAAGCTGCCTACTTCATGGTCCTTTTCTTCATATTCTGGAATACACGGATATGTATAAATATTTACAAATTCAGGTGCTAAGAGTTTTGCATGTACAGCAGTGCTTTTGCCATCTGTTTCATTCGGATGTTTAATGATGTCAATCTTCAATGGTAGCTAAAATTTAGAGAAAAAGGAAAAAATGAACAAAATAGAAAATTCTAATTTTTATGTTAATAAAAATGGTCTTTAAAGCTTAAATAGCAAGCTCACACTAAGTTCCTATGAATATACTTAATAGTTTGAAAGTCATACTTTTTTAGAACAGAATACTAAGACTAGTAAGAGTCATAAAGCAAACACAAATTTATTTCTTAATACTGTTAATCATGTACTAGAACTATTTTCAACTCATTTAACAGACTCTTATAGCAATGTTCCAATGTCATATTCATTTGTCACATTGGACTGAGTCCTATTCCTTGCATTCAAATATCTGTGTCAAGAACATTTTTTATAATTGCTATAAACTTTCAGGTCTGTTAATTTTATAATATGTTAAAAAGAAATACAAGCTGAGGCAAAAATTTTAGATCTAAAATTCAAGTTAAAATTTTGCTCCTCAAAACATCTTTTGAGGTTAAAGGTATTATCTTTTAATGTTAACATCATGATTCTCAGCATGTGAAATTATTAATTGGAAAAAGAGTAACAGAAAGGTTCCAGGAGGTATACTCTATATAAAAAATAACTTTTCAAAATCATTTTGCCTATTTTCCTTAGTTTCATTATTTAATTACTATGAATTATGTCCTGTCTATATGCAAAAATAATAGTCTCGCAAATTTCTTGAGTTAGATTTTTCTATTATTTCGCTGACTTGTTCAGTTTAGTTTTCTGTATAATGCTTGTATGAATCCTGCCTTCAGCCATGACTATGGAAACAGAAGCCAAGTCATATCTCTCCCATCATATAAGAAATTCTCTCTGGACGGATTTTTTGCTGTAGAGTTCAAATGACTTATTTGTTATGATTCCAGCTCCCAACCCACACTAAAAGGCAACATTCTAGGTATTTACTCTGGGGGAACAGTTATTTTGCCCTGGAGTACAAAACTACCTTGTTTTTTTAGAACAGATTTATTAAAGATAGGATTGAAACAATAAGCTGCACATATTTGAAGTGTACAATCAAATGAGTTTTAACATATGCTCCTTTCAATTCATCACCACAATAAAGTTAATGAACATATCCATCATCCCCAAAAGTCTCATCAACTCATCAACTACCACCCACAGTCCTAGGGAACTACTGATCTATTGCTATAGGTTAGTTGGCATTTTCCAGAATTTTGTATAAATGAAATCATAAATTATAAACTTTTCTTTTGATTGCCTTCACTTAGAATAATTATTCTGAGATTCATTCATGTTGTGTGTGTCATTAACTCCAGAACTATTTTTTAAAGGGGCAGTTTCTATATTCTACTAGATGATCTCAAATTGTACATAGTTTATCACTCAGGATAATTATGTGGAAAGAGGAAGCTAGAAGGGCCATAAACATCCCAGATAACATTGAAAACATCCCTAGTTTTCAATCCAGGGTTTCAAACCCAATGTCTCCTACCTTCTCCTTAGGCCTAGTGATCATTTATAACTTGAAGGCAACTGCTTCAAAACATCAAATCAACTTCTATTGATAGAAAATTTACCATTTAAGCAGACAGTTCACAAATGATTTTACATCAGTCTACCTCTGGCTGAACTCTACATCAGACTTTCCTCATGAAACTCAATCCCAGCTGATGCTACTCTACATTCCCTTTCCCCAGGGTCTCTCAGTAGCAGCTCAGCATTATCTTAGTTCAGGGAAAGCAAGAAAGAAGAAAGAAAAAACAAAGCAGATCATGACAAAGTATTCTAATATGAATAAAACCGACTTTCTTATACAGCTGATGAATAGAGCTGAAAATTCCAAATAGGGCTGAAAAATCCAACATTTCTGATCAGGTGGCTATCTCTGAAGGACATCATTTAAATCAAGAATGCAGGACTGAAAGTTACTAATGTATTTCACAAATCATGAAACTAGCATATGATGGACTAAAATCTACAAGTATAAAACAGTTATGTAATATCTGTGCTCAAGAAGTATTTCTGGGAGCCAAGCCATGTATCTTTAGTTCCCCCTGAGTAAGCCTGAAAATTATACTATGAAAGTCCAGTCACAGGTCAAGTCATGGAAATACAGAAATATATGTTTGTGTTCTCGTTCACACATTTTAAAAGAAAATATATCTTAAACAATGACAGGGTACAGAGTAATGCAACTAGAGTTAACTAGACTCAGTTCAAGTAGAGATGTTTTGTTTTCAAACATTTAAAGACCATCAATCTGTTCCCTAACATCTATGTTTCCTATGAGAGATTTACCATAAAACTTTCTACCCATATTTATCAAAATACAATTAGCAGAAAACTCTAGCCTTTTTCCATGTGATTATCAACCTTCCCAAAGAGAATCTTTTCAACTCTAGTACTCTAATAAAGATGAAGCTTTCATCTGATGATCTTTCTTCACCTTAAAAAAAAAAAACAGACATTTGTCATGACTTAAAAAAAAAATTAATGAATTTGTCATGACATTAAAAAATTTACTTCTGCATTAAAAAGATATATATTAATGAATTTAATCCCTAGAGTAAAATTTATAGCTTGGGAGGTACTTATTCATTATGTAGTTATCTTCCCTTCCGAAGCAGGCTATCTAAAAGCAAATGCTGCACCATTTGTAAAAATAAAGTAGAAACTAGAAAAATTTTTAGATTTTTTTTTATTAATATGTAGTAACTCACAAAATTTTACATATGGTAATTAAAATAAAACACATCAGAAAATTTTGCACCATCCAGTAGGCCATTTAGAGTTGATCAAACTCTTGGTATAGTGTTTCAGCCATTTCATTAAAATAGTGGACATTAGGTCATGGATTTAAAAAAGAATACTCAATTATTAAATTTCTATGAAAATATTAGCCCTATATTATTAACTTTTATTATTCCGATCATCAACCCTGTTGAACAAAATATATCTTAAAACTTTTAATGGGATATTTTCTTTATGTGGCTATGATATAAACAGAAGATGAAACGATTCTGTTCATTATTTTCAAAACTATACTTCAAAATGTAACATTCTTATATGAGAGATGGGGATAATGGGAGAAGGGAGATAAAGGAGAAGGGGGCGGCAGAGGACGAGATGATTAGATAGCATCACCAACTCCATGGACATGAATTTGAGCAAGCTCCAGGAGACAGCAGAGGGCAGAGGAGCCTGGGGTGGCAATGAGTTGAACATAACTTAGTGACTGAACAACAATGCAGACTTTAGAAGAATTATTGGACTCAAGCTCTCAGTTTTTCTGAGGTAACTATGAAGCTTACTGGATTCTATACTTATTTATTCTTGGCCAGTAAACTTGCCAGTAGCCTCTAAGAATGATTTTAGATCCCTAAGCAGACCATGGACTTGCCAAGGCAACATGTAGGCTAAAATGCAATTCAAGTAACAAAATACGAGTGTTTCAAAGTATTGTTCTTACTTGAAATGTAAATGAACCTTATCACCACATTAAACTTATTTTCTTATTGCCAAGTTCTAATGAGTTCATGTGTAGAATTTGGTCTCTTTAAGGTCTTAACAGGCAGCAGTCAAATTTCATAAACCATTTGACTTAAAGTTTGAGTCACTGTTAGACAAGTTAACATATACATAACTAAGTCTTTGATTACAGAGACATGATGGTCTACAGACCTTTTATCTACACAAAAATAGCCTTGATAGGCAACAAAAAGTATAAGGTAAGCAATCAATTCAAATCAATTTGTTGAAATCTGGCGTTAAATCACTATAATTATAACACAGCCCAATGAGCAGGCCTTAGTCTTTTCAATTTCAGTTTAGTTTAGTTTTGGTCACTGACATGTGCTCCGTCTCCATATACAGAATGAGACTAAACTCACAATTCTGCCTAAGCAAATATCAACCCTAGTTCCTTCAGGATATGTTTTCTTCTCAAGGGCAGTCCAAGGCCCTCAGGTGGTTTTTGAAGCTCCTTCATGCAGCCTGTAAACTTGTTTCTTGTAGTTTTCAAGTTTATACAACATTTTTTCTATGCTGTATATGAATTATAATCATTTATTTTAAAAAGTAACTGATTTCATTAAAAACAGCAGCATTCATCTCATATGCAAGTTTTTCAGCAATGTATGTCTCTTTTTCTAGAAACAAGGGGGAAAAAATAGGTTTACAGGTCTACAGGACTAAACTTTCTATTAATTAATTTTCATGATGCCATTTATCAAGCTTATCAGTTATATTAGAGTAGGGATATATCAGATGTGTCTTTAAAATCAATTCTCCTACTTCCAAACAATTAAATTTCTCACCAACCTTCACATGTGGTATCTGTTCAACAGGTACATTCTCAACTGGGACGTAACATGTATAGCAGTAGAACATTCTTGAACCACCACACTTCACACATTTTGATCTTCCATTTTGCTGAGCTTTTTTGAGAACTTCTTGAGATGCTAAGCATAAGTTTTGAAGAGGATCTTCTGCGGCTATGCATGTAGTTTGTGACTGCTGTATTTCCACAAATTTTGAATTATCTTCTTCCCTTTCTTTGAGAGATATAGGCGTACTGAGAGACATTTTTCATTCAAATCAAAGTTTAACTTTTATTTCTAAAACACATATTGCAGATGCACTAGAAAAAAAGGGGGGGGCAAAATAAACATAAAACATTTCACTCACTGATTCTACAAAGAAAACTACTCCATTTAATTCACAACTGTGTGCTGACTCAGGGACGGGGGAGCCTGGTGGGCTGCGGTCTATGGGGTCGCACAGAGTAGGACATGACTGAAGCGACTTAGCAGCAGCAACAAATGTTAATAAGTTTTTAAACCACTAGATTAGCATGCTTTAAGATATAATATTAAAAAGCAATAAACTAAAAAAAAAAATTACCCTTTAAAGCAAGTCCCTCCATAAAAATAGGATGATTGTCTCCCCAAAAAATTATTTCAAATATAAAGTTTAGGTACAAACAATCTATTTCTCAGTGACTATTTTTGTTCCAGGAACAGTACTTTTGTTCTATATTAGGAATGTAATATTTTTATGTTAGAATCAGCCAGGAATGTATTCAACCCTGCAAGTTCTGACTTTCACTTGTTATTATAAAACATCAAATCACACTCTGACATGACATCAATTCTCAGTCTGAACCTTGAAAAAAATACAAGGTGAAATCAGTAAAATTTAGTTGGTTATGTTCTAAAAGATGTAATTCTCTCCAACATAAATTAAAACACTCATAAAAATATAACTACACATCCATTAAAATGAGGCATCCACTAGCAATTATAATTTTTTAAATGTCTCAAAAGGTGAAACATATGCCTATAAAAATATAAAGGCATATACATAAAGATTAAAGTATAATCTTATAAAAGTTAAAATTTTACAGAGTAACATCAGTGTTCACCCATTCTAAGAAATCATACTGCTTTCAAAAATATATACCATTCAGTCTTCAGGTCTAGAGATAAAACAGTAAAGTGCTTTTCTCACTTAAATATTTCCTTCAAAGGAGGATGATGGTTGCCAAAATTGTTATTCAAATACTTTGTAAGCACAATAGACTTAGACGGAAAAAAGAGACTGGGGCCCTCTTCATTCGATATGCATTCCCGAGCTGTAAAATGATTCTCATAACCTAAAGCCTTGGTATTGTGGTGTTTAACTATGAGACTCCAGGCACTTTAAGTACAAACACTGAGAGGAGAAAAGCTGTGACAGAAACAGGAAACTTTCTGTGGTTTCCCAAAACGAAAGTGAACAAAGAGTCCAGTGGAACATAATACACAATATAATTTACTAACAAGAAGTTAGTGATACTAATTTAATTAGTCATCAGGAGTCTTTTATAGATTGTAAATGCCAGGGAACTTGGGACCCAAATAAAGAAAGGCAAAGAAAAAAGATGTTGGTCATTGAAGGAAAAGTAAAATATACTTGTCAAATTTATTCAAGGGGAAAGCCAAAATACAATAAATATTTTTGATGTGTACTGATTAGGTAAGGGTTTACATTTTGGGTTGGTAGGACAAAGAGATATTTAAAAACGATGGTCCAATCCCTTCTTCTTGCCTCACGAATGGAAAACATTATGTGACCTCTACTCCAAATCACTTTCCTAAAAATGACTTTTATTTTTGTCAATATGCCCTCAATGACTGGGAGAGTGCAGGATATTAAGCTGTTACCTTTTCTTGAGGCTCAGATCCTTTTAAGACTGCATGAGAGTCTTCGACCTTCTCTCTAGTAAATGCACTTACAGATGCAGTATTCTGCACACAATTTCAGATGCTTTGCAGGTTAGATTCTAGAGTCCATCTACAAATACAGGTAAAGAAATCTTGGCTAAGATCAAAAAGTCATTCAAAGGACAGGAGAAGCCTTAAAATCCCGGGAAGAGATCCTATTAGTCTCCAGAAATCAGAGCCACAAATCCTTCTCTGGCCAACAAAAGGTCAATTCTCACAAGCCAATGGAGGTCTCATCACTTAACTTAGGAAACTAACTGGTCCCTAAATCGTCTTGGTTTCGCTTTGTTCTACTGTTACCTGAGGTTCTTAAAAACATTTTTAGGCTACAATAGTCTTGAGTTATCCAGATCATGGGCTTATCCTAAAAAAGCAATTGGAGTGGTCTAATTCAATTTGACTCCACTCAGGTGGGTATTCCAGTAGCTATGCAGGGATTTGCATGTGCCACTATGGGGCCCAGGGTTAGTGGGGAAGTATGCAGTTCCCAAAGGTGTCATAAAAGTCAATGTAGTTGCTTGATGTTTAATGGAAAACTACTGGTGAGTTTTTCTGGCACCTCAAAGTATACTCCTCCTCAGATGCCTCATAAAAATCCCCATGTATTCCACTTGGCAGTCCATCCATATAGCTAAATGAATTTTTTTGCTGTTGTTTTGTCATTCAGACGTGTCCAACTCTTTTGCAACCCTATGGACTGTAGCCCGCCAGGCTCCTCTGTCCACAGGATTTCCCAAGCAAGAATACTCGAGTGGGTTGCCATTACCCTCTCTAGGAGATCTTCCTGACCCAGGGATCGAACCTGCATCTCTTGCATCTCCTGCATTGGCAGGCAGGGGTTTTTCACCAGCTGAGCCACCAGGGAAGCCCCAGATTAGCAGAGCCTTATATAAAAAGTCCTTTCTCTACAAAAATCAAACAACACAAACACCTTGAGATGGTGCAAGGGAAAGGTCTATGGCTCCCTGCCTTGCCTTACCTACACACTCTCACATGTAGATGAGATGGCTACAGAAGAGGCCTGCAGTTCTAAGTCATGGGGAGCTCCCTCCAAAGGTCTCTAAAACCATATGAACAAGGGATCCATCCTGACCTAATCAACAGACTGTTTCTAATGTGTACAAATCATTTATAGCACACACGATTCAAAACTTTCAAAGCATATATCTTAACATCAATTATGTGTGAAAAATACAAGTGGAGTTGTTGGGGTTACTGAGAAAACATAAAAAAACTTCGTTCCTAAGGAACTAACAAATATTTTTGCCTAGATATGCACCTGTCATTTTACAACTTGGGTTGAAAACAAATTAATTTTTTAATTACTCCATCAAGTTGTACCAATTCTACCTTGCACATAATCCTGTATTTTTAGTCTCTGAGTCAGGATTCTAGATGGCCAATTGCAATCTCTTCACCTCTTTGCTTTCATGGGCTTATTACTAGTTCCAGATACTTAACATGGAAAAATGCATTTTAATTTGGAGTTACCTTTTAGTTAAGCTATCCTTCCTAGTAGTAGTCAACTCCCCAAGAGTAAAATCCTTCACTCTGCAATTCCATAATGAGGAATTCAACAAATACTTGTTAACTAAATCAAAACCATTATGAAAAAGAAGCATTCACTATGCAACTGCTACTGAAGTATCTGACAACCTTTACCTGTAATCTGCAGCCTGGCAGATTTTTTTCTTGTTTTTCCAAAATAATAATGCAAAAGACTCCTAGCTACAAATAAGTTAACTCCCACCCCCACCCCCCATCCCCACGCAGGAGACAGGAGTTCAATCCTTGGGTTAGAAAGATCCACTGGAGGAGAAAATAGCAACCACTCCAATATTCTTGCCTGGAAAGTCCCATGGACAGAGGAACCTGGCAGGCTATAGTCCATGGGATCGCAAAGAGTGGGACACAACTGAGCACACAACACAGCAATGGAACATTATATAAACTCCTCATCCTGTACTTCGGATCATAACAGTACCAAATAAAACCCACTTAAATTTTATTTTCCTATTTTTAAGAACCTGGTCATACATACAGGTCCAATGGTCTACTGTTAAAAATTCAAGGCAACACCTTTTTCTAACAGGCTAACAGTCTATGCCCTCCTTACCACCGCCGCCCCCCCGCCCCCACACACACACATAGCACCCACCCTGTGGTAGAGACTGTCTTGCCTTAGTTCTTCCTGGTACACTGGGGTTTAGAGAGAAGTAATTTTTAAATATTGTGGTTCTGAATCAAGCAGTGATTTTATCATCCAACTTCATGGAACTGGCACCTCAGTGTTAATAAACCTCCTGACTTGTCCTACATTTCCAAGAAATAATTCAGACTTAAGGACAGCCTCTTTGCTCATTACGTATTTATAACCTTAATATTTTAAATACACTGCATGGCACACTATGCCTGTACTAATTTTCTCCTTCGGTGATAACCACTGTCCCGCAAAGCACTCCAAACACTAAAAAATAAAGAATAGGGTACCTAGTGGACTAACTTTGCCTAAACAGACTTTTCTTGGGCCGGACTGCACTGAAAATAATGGTTAGGAGTAAAAAAAAAAAAGGAAAAAAAAAAAACTTTTTTTGAAGAAAAATTTGGACGCCCTTTCCCCAAAGGGCCCACAAGACCTTAAACACGCTGGCGGCCGCACAGGGACCAGGGCCCCGCTCACAAGCGACACGCAGCACGACCTCCGCCGGGGCCCGGCCATGGAGCGTCCACTCCCGCAGCTGCCGGGCTGCGGACCCCGGTCCCCACAGAAGCGCTGAGACCCGCACGAGGGATCAGAGTGGGACTCAGACCTGCACAGCCCACGGGTCCTCGCACAGTTCCACGCGTCTTCCGCTCCGCCGGAGCCCAAGGTGCGCGCCCGGCCCCGGTCCCGCCTGGCCGCGGCGGAGCGCTTTCCGGGCAACACCAGAGGGAGGAGCCCGGACGTTGCTAAGGCCGTTGCTAGGGCCGGCCTCGGAGGGGGTTCCGCTGGCAAAGGTAACGGGCGGGGACAACCGCCGTGAGGGGTTAGAAGCAAAGTCCCGCCCCAGCTTTTCCAACTGTCGGTGTGGTGTCACCTTTTTCCGGAGAGAAATAATGGAGAACCAGGACCCTGCTCCGTGAGGCCTGGCCTCACATCCCGCCAGCGCTGCGCTGAGCTCCCTCCTGAGACTGGCCGGGACCGCGGAAGGGGGACGCGGTTCTCGAAATATATTATCAAGGTGTAGTTGCAGTGCGTTGTGAAAATGCTGTTCCTACAGAACACTTTCCCATTTGCCAATCCCTAAAATATTTTAGTCGTGAGAACTTTGTTCTATTACT